AAAAAATAATTGTTTTATTATTATTTGTTTGCAAAGAATTAATTTATCAATTATTCTTCAATTGGGAAGTAATCGTTGGAATGATTATTGAATTACAGTATCGTTTCACACATCATGTCTTTGGTTTATTACAAACACTTATTTATATTAACAACTTATTTATGTTGATTGCGTTGATTTGATTGGTAACCGAATCAACCAAAACTATTGACCATTTATTTATTATTAACTTAAATAATAATTAGAAAGATTATGAAAAAAATTTAAATGACAACAGAATTATGAAATTAACTAATAATTTAAGCCATAAGTTTGTGGCAGACTTTCATAGCCGGCCGGCACTGAGCCCTCGTAATTGTTAGGCGGGGGGCCGGCGCTGGAATGTTGAGAGGGGGAGGGATACGATTTGGGTCCCGGACCCCCGTAACTATTGGGTGGCATTGGCCCGGGATATGACATTGGCATCGGATTAGCGCCGGCGTAGTCGCCGGGCGATGGCCCTCGATATACACCGGGGGCTGGATTTGAGTATTCACTAGGAGTGGGCAGCGGAGGTCCCATTGGAGGCCCATATGCTTGGGGTTTGATTTGACCCTTTCGAGAGGGGTTTTCATAATGTTGAGGGGGTGGGGGTCCGTACGCTTGCGGCGGTCCATAGGCGGGCTCTGGAGGACCTGAATAGCCATTTGGTGGCGCATAACCACCGCGTGAGGGGCCGTACGCCTCAGACTGTGGGGGACCAGAATAGGGTTCGGGTGGCGGACCATAACTTCCATAATTATTGCTTCCGCCATAACTCTCTGCGGGTCCGCCATAACCACCGCCGGAACCGCCGTCTTCTACTTTGATTGTCTTATGAAAATTCACTTCAGATTTAGCGTATTGTTCACCGCCTCCATAACCTGAACCTCCGCCTCCATAGCCACCGCCGCCACCGCCTCCGCCGCCGCCATACCCTCCGCCTCCATAACCACCGCCTCCGCCATAACCACCGCCGCCTCCATAACCTCCGCCTCCGCCATAACTGTCGCCTTCGGGTTCACCGAAGCTAATCTGTGGCGGCGGCGGGAGATTCACTTCCAATGGTTTGGCGTACGGTTTCTTAAGGAAATTGGCTTTGATGGTGACCTGGGGCATATTCATTTTGGGCATTTTCAGCACAATGGGCGGCACATGTATTCCGAAATTAAGCTTAATGTGTCGCTGTTTCTCCTGCTGATACCCTCCGCCTCCATATCCACCTCCGCCTCCATATTCATCGGCAGCCGCGGCGCTGATTGTTATCAATAAAAGCAGGAATTCCTGGAAATTTAAATATTGAATACATTTAGACTTCATTGACAACTGACTGAAACGAAAATATACAAAAAATGCAATAAAAACAAAATTAAGTGCAAAATATTTAGTGTTATTTACTGTACTCTCGGAACAAATACACTAAAGAAAATTGAGAGAAACCTTAATTGCGAACCAATTGCCTGATTATGTTATAAGTTTGGGACAACTTTTCGCTGACGAGTTCAAGCAATTGCTAAAAATAAGGCAATCGCTCACCTATTTATACATTATATGTTCGTTGAACTCTCTTAACTAATCTTTACAAAAACACTATGAAGTACTCAAGAAATGAAAAGTTTGTCACAAATATCAAACACATCGACAAAATACAAGTGTAACTAATAATTTTGATTAATTATTTTGTGTATTAATACTAAATTACATTTTGTAAAGTCTCTTCCAAAAACAAAAGATAGTTTTTATTGATAACTTAATTGCTAACGAATTGCTTACTTAATCACAAGTATTGAATTCACGGAACAAAAAACAATTTAACGGTTTGTTTGAATGGAAAACTTTAAAGGGCTATAAATTTAAAAGTTTTAAACGCGTAAAACATATAAATTATAAAAAGTGATAACAATTGTGATATAACATTGCAAAACATACCCTCATATCGGATGAGATGTTCACTTATACAATAAAAAGATGCAAATATTCTTCACTCTGAACTCATAGGCGAAAGACTGGATCAAAGTCTGAAGAGTTTGTATTTTAAATCCATGTGTTGGCCTCAATAAGGTATAGAAATTTAAATAACATTTATGAGCCGGTTATTAACAGTTATGAAACGAGGTCTCAGAGATTGCGTTCATTTCAATATATTTGGTGAGACTTCACTACAATCTCTCAGCCATACATCCAATTACGCCGACGGCATGAAAGAAATAGATACTAAATATTGCATTATTAGTGAAATTTTCTCCGTAAATAAATCTATTTATTGCCAAAAAGCCATTCATCTCTGCATTAATATTACATTATATAACTTATAATATGTGTTAACAAATGCATCAAATGTTAGATTAATTTTTCTCTCCATAAACGATATGTTATGGTAAATGATATTCATTTGTGAAACAATTGTCCAGAAAAAGTAGTTTATATTATTTTTGTTGTCTATTAATATATTAACGCATGATTTATGTATTAAATTTTTTGTGATAATAGATTAGTGAAAAATTTTTTCAATTCCAGGAAATATTTATTAAAATGAAATGATTTTCTTTTCAAAAGACTATTTTATTATTAGATCTCGAAGAATAAGAACTATAGAAATATTGTAATTAAATCACAATTTAATCGCTTCCTTGTGTTCATTTGGTTATCAAAACAATATTTCCAAACTTTTGTAGTATTTAAAGTAAAATATTAGTATTTCTGATAAGTCTATCAATTAATTTGCATTACAATCAAAATAAATAACAAAATATATATTTCTGTAATGATTTTCCTGAATTAAGACATTTTTCATAAACTAATAAAGTATTCAAAAATCATTACTGACAGAGAATTAGGTTTATTATAACTAAATTAATATTGAATGCAATCTAATTGTATTCATGACAATAACTATACAATTTATTCATTACATTAATAGTTATAAGTTTATTAACAATTATTTCATTACAACTCTATTTAATAAGTGAATTGATTCATTCAAATGAGTTAATATTTATTGATTTAAATTGCATTTCCTATTGAATAATAAGTACAAATAAATTAAATTATGAATTAATTAAGTAATTTGACGTGTATTTCATTTTTATAATTATTTTAGCGACAAATAAAGTCACGAATAAAATCTTATTCGTGTTTAAATCTTATTAAAGCATTTCGATAGACATTAATAATTTAATTGGAAGTAAAATTACTTTAATTCATAACAATCAGTCAATCAGTAAATTATTATTAACGATAAATATAATAATCATTAAATCATTTGATGACTACAATAATGCAATTATAAATTATTGTTTACGTTATAATAATGCTTGTAATAAATGATTGCTGTTTGAAAATTGATATGAAATAATTGCATATTTAATGTCATGCTCAAGGTACATGCAAAAATGTATAATGTATATTTTTAAAAATAAACAAAATGATATTTAAAAATGATGTGCATGTCTTTTATTTGAAGAATATATTATTTGCAGATCGTTAGCAATATTAGTATATAATTAGCTATACAATAATTTTACCAATTTTATTAAATAAATATTCTAAATCAATAGAAAAAGTGTACATGTATGTTTATTAGTAGTAAATTATTACTATTATTTGATTTTATTATATGATCAAGATGAACATAAAAACATAAATTGTTAATAATTAAAATTAATTGAATGCTTAATATATTTGTAAATTATGTAATTTCTATGATAAATGTTATAACATTTCACTACAGGTATAATGCAATGGGATATCGAGTCAATACATTTGTGAATACATTTGTGCCGTAAATGCAATCAAATGTTTCAATCATTTCATAATAAGCGCCAAACCATTGATCACGTGATGAATGTGTTGTTTGTTGTGATAATCGCTTTGAAAGCAATGAATTGCCCGACAATTGACAAAAGCATTGAAACCATTGAACGCTTGAATCAATGAATTGGACACCAATTGTATGACTGGTTTCGGCGGACAAACCACTCAAACCACACAATCATCTCAAGACACTCAAGAGATGAGAGATTTACACAATCGTTGCTTTGGTGGCAGATATTGGTTCGTAAAAGACGTCTGCGGTATGTATTGCACTCACCATCTCATCTGATCCACCCGTCCATCACTGGTTTGGCAGCACGTGATTGGATGTGTGTTTCGGTGATGTTTATGTCTGGATGTGTCTAACCATGTGTTTTGGTGTTTGCATCAATACAGGCATAATCTGCGCTCTCTTTACGTACGGTCTGTTGATGTTTGCGGAGTATGTGGTCATACAAGTGATCATAATTCCCGAACAGAACCTCATCTATAAGACCATCAATTTTATCATCTTTGAAACGCTGGCCTTTTTGGCACTCACTTCACACGTGAGGACAATGTTAACGGATCCGGTAATTCACTCATTCACTCACACATACCATTCATTTTCCTTTCATTCATATCTTTTTTGATATCTATTTTTGGTTTTAGTTTTACTTTTATTTTCACTCATTTTTTTCTCGCTTTAATTAAATGGTATTTAATTTAATGACAGTTTTGTTGTCTATAAATAAAAGAGACGATTAAATTGAGATATAGATGTCTTTCAGGCGTTTTTATTACTGATTACTTCTCTCGCTTTGAATAAAACCTGTCATTTAATTTGTGTTTTTTATTTTGAATTTCATTTAAGGTTTGATTTATAAATATTTGTCTTAAAATTAGCATAAATTACATTTAAATATCGTTTTCCTTTCTCTATAAATAAACACCACTTTAGATTTAATTAATTTTAATTTATAAATTATATATAACAGTAATTTATTTAACATTTAAATTATATTTATATATTTAAATAATAAATATCTATTTGAACACTGGATGTGTTGACGACACGATAGGGTGCTGTCCCGCGGGGAACGGCCACTAAGGAGGCCATCGAACAGTTGGGCTTAAGTGAAGGAACAGTACTATACAAATGCCAGAAGTGCTGCTCAATAAAGCCCGAGAGAGCACATCATTGCAGTGTATGTCAGCGATGTATCCGCAAAATGGACCGTAAGTCTCATCCAAAACACTTCACTCGTAATGTTGCCATTCATTAACCCTCACGTTTTTAGACCTCTTTCCCCACATTTTTATTAATTTATGACAATTCAATACATTTTACAAATATTGTAAGCATTTACCCATTGTTTGCCATCATATAACACAAAATTGGGTTATAATTACAAAGTGTATACAAATTATATTTCGCTAATAAATGCTAACAATAGATGCATTGAATTGGATTTAACTATTTTTGAGTACAAATTTACAGATTATTATTTTATTCTGTAATCCAAAAAAATTATATAAACACATTACCATATTGTTTATATTATATGCATTAATAGTATTATTAATATTGACAGTTAAATAAAACAATTTATGACTAATTGTTGATTATGTTGTGTTTCAGATCACTGTCCGTGGGTTAACAACTGTGTCGGTGAAAACAATCAAAAGTTTTTTGTTTTATTCACTGTAAGCGCAAATTTCTTGTGGTTAATAATTAATACAATATATAATAATTTTAAAATTGATTTACAGTTATATATAGCAATCATATCGTGTCACGCATTGATCCTTTCGGTCACACATTTCTATAAGTGTATTGACAACGACTGGAAAAGTATGGATTTTATTACTTTCATCATTAAAAATCCTAGTATTCAATATTTTTTGTTTATTATTTTGAAATACCTTATTATAACTAAACATTGTGTGTATTTACGCTTTAAATGAATACTGTTTGAAACTCGTAGACTGCGGGACAACATATGTGGATCCGGTGAGTGGGTCGACCACATCGGCGCCGACCCCCTGGACGATCATCCTATTGGTGTGTCTGGTGTTCGAAGCGCTACTGTTCGCTATATTCACGCTAATCATGTTCGGGGTTCAGGTGCAGGCCATATGGCACGACCAGACAGGCATCGAACAGCTCAAGAAAGAGACCAACAAATGGCATCAAAGGCACTCCTGGAAGAGCTTCACAACAGTGTTCGGCAAAGGGTTTAGTCTTCAGTGGTTCTCTCCCTTTACAAGAGTATCCATTGGCGGCAGAGTTGAGACCAACTTCACACATGCTGTATAACGCGTACACTCTTTTATTATAGTCAATGGCATACCTGTGCTCTAAATTTACCACAATTTAAACTTAAGATTTTTCGATCGATTCAATCGATTTGTTTATTTATTTTTTAATAGTATTAGTAGTTTATAACTTGTAATCATTGATTTAGTGAAAACAAATGAATTATCTGTAAAGTGATACCTATTATGACAATTCATTAATTATTTAATTTGCTTTCAAATCGCTTTTAAATCATTTTCAAGATTTGTAAATAAAATTAAAATATTATTTTTTGCTAAAAACTAAGTTTTATTGTAAACCAATTATATTTACATTCACTTAAGAACAGACAATTAATTTAGAAGTTTTAAACCAAATCATTGAAGAAAAACCATCGGATGTCTTAGTGAGTGATTGTCTACTTGAGGAGTAGTCGGTTGTAGGCCAGGGGATAGTGCGGCGCATAGGCGTAGGCACTGCTGTAGTGAAGGGGCGCCGCATAGGGGGCGGCGTAAGCGTACGGCGCGGCGGCCACGACGGCGGGCGCGCCATAAGTGTTGTACACGCGTCCGGTCAATGAGCTCGAGTACTGGCCAGTAGTCAAGTCATAGTAATTTCCGGCCCAGTCTTTCACACCACCGATGGCGGAGACGGCGACGATGAACGCCAATGCGATGGCGAGAATCAACTTTTAATTGACAATCAAATCATTAATTTTTATGTTCAATAGGAAATACATTTCTAATGTATTTGAGAAAAACTCACGAATTTGTTGGCCATTGTATTGAGAAGTTTGTGTTTTGACAGGATTTCTATCAAATGTAAAACTATTGAAAAGTTTTGAATTTGGAGTCGACTTTTATATCCAATGGTTTGGTTGTACGCGAGGCCACAGAGTCCGCGCCCAACACCACAACAGTTACCATAATCTGTTTGCTTTCCACCCAAATGACGACTATTTGATAATACTTTTCATATAATAATAATTCATTCATACCTTTCCATTCCTGGTTCGCTCTCTTTCACTATAATTTCACATTTTAAGGCATTTTTAGTCTCAAACAACTCCTCCTCAGTGGCCTTTGATATACCGAAGGACACACTCCTCATCAATAAGACAATCGAAAGCTTTGGATTAATGGGAAAAAACAAGAAATACCAAAATCTTCCCCCAAAAGCTAATCTTCATATGCTTTTGACGTCTTTATGAAATGCACGGAACAAATGAAAACAATTTAGTTATTATTGATTTAATTTACAATGCATTTTGTAATATCCATATAAATAACATTTCCTTAATTATAAACTATTCATTATTTAATATAATTAAATACTTCAACGCTTTGCTATCCATTTGACAAAACACTAAATAAAACTATTAAAATAGATGTTATTTTAAAACTAGTTGTCTATTATAACAGAAATTGAATCTTTGCTTATAATAATTAGTATCTCAAGGCTTTGCGAGCATTCAATTGTATATCCAATTAAAGCACAACTCATCTCAAGCTTTTTTCTTGTGCTTCAAGTTTTTGACCCAATTTTTTCATTTATTTAAGATTCGGTCAGAAAAGTGAAGTGAAGTGAAGGTTAGTCACAATATTTGGATTAATATTTCAATTTTGATGTATAGATAGACAATACAATCAAAACGTGAGATTAAGGTTATGTTATTCTTTCAAAAGTCACACACCGTTTACAACCAGATGTCTAACATTTCATTACATTTCCAATGAATTTTTCGCTTAAATTCCGATTCGTTTTAATAGTTATTTTCAATGGTTTACTTGAAAGAGCAGTTTTAATTAAATTGTTTGCAAAACAATAATTATCATGATTATAGTGAACACTGTTTTGACTGATAGTGAAAACATTACTTACGGTTTCAATGATTGATAGACTAATTGCACATAAAATTACTGTACAGTATATGCCTCTATATAAAGTTACTCTTCAGTATTATCATCAAGATCACTGATCAGTGTTTTATTAGTCGTAAGATTTATTTACAATTTAAAGCTATAAAAACATAAATATCTGAAATATTTTCCAAAATCAATGACTCGATTCTATCTCAATATTAACAAAACAATTCATGATTTATATCTCAAGTCTTGGAAAAGCAATATTTTTAAATATAGGAATTGTGTCAATAATATGTATAATTCATATAATATGTAAATAAATGCACAGAATTTGCATTTAAAAAATATATTATTTCTTTAGACTAATTCTCTTTCATAATTCATTGACTGACACGATATTGTGTGTGAATTTTCTCATTCAATATGTTTTTAATTTATTTGTATCTCATTTTTAAACAATAAAGGTCTTGTGGTTTTAGTCAATAACAGATAATATACTTAAATTGATTGAATGAGTGGGAGATTGTGGCAGAAAGAAGAAAACTTAATACATTTTTATGAATTTTATTAAATGATTGAATATTGCAACAAAAATTCATATTTTTGATACATTAATATAATATATCAAATATTTTATTTATTTGTAAACAATATAATATAAGGTTAGTTTAACATAAACGACAATAAATGGGGTGTTATTATTATTGGTATTTCTAAAACTTAAAATAATGAGCAGATTATTGCAAATTAATTAGAAACCAATAATCCATGAAATCTTTTATAGACGTTATAATTGCAATTAAAAGCTTTAAAATCAAAACAATGTTATGAAATATGTTTTTAATTAAATTAAATGCAATATCACTTAAATCTTTCATCATTGTCGTTAATGAATGTCTAATTTTATGGTTAAAATAGCCTTTATAATGATTTTAGTGCTAATTTTTATCGTTATTTTATTTTATTTTCTTTGAAAATGTCTATAAAAATTTTATTAATTAAAAGTGATTATTCTTCGTGATAACTATTTGCAACATTATATATTATGTCGAATACTTATTTGTTTTTATTATTAACAATTATTTTAAAAAATAAAGTTTGAATACATTTTGTATATTTAAAAATCATTTTTATATATAACTGTCAGAAAACAAATTTAAATAATTCTGTGAAAATTAAATCAAAACTTTGAGCACATGTTTAAATACATGTGCATTATTTAAAGTGATTATTTATTTATTATAATAATTTATGAGTTGAGATGAATTTCTATTAAGATTTCAATCAAAAATTGGCGGAGATTTTCATTGATATAATGATAATTTTTTTCCATTCATATTGAACTAAAAGTTTGTGCAAAACATTCGCCAATAATATTGATTGATATGTTTTGTTCGAGACCTACATAACAGTTAATTTCATATATATTATTATATTATTATTGGTTTAAAAGTGAAAATATTTTGAAATATTATGTTGTAATAGATATTTACGATCATTAGTACAAAGAAAATCATTGGTTTTACTAATAGGAAGACTACAGACAAACATTTGAATGAGTTATGCAATGGTTATGTACTTAAATATATTATTATGAGATTTTATTTATATTTAAATTATTATGTAAAATGATTTAATACTTTCGTTAATAGCTTTCAAAAAAAGATATTTTCACAAAGAAATTCATTTAAATATAATTAGAGTGTAATTATTAGTGGCCTTCGTTTGAGATCACGGCTAATGTCTTCATGTCTTTGTCGATAATTCTCTCTCAAAAATAATCTTTTCTCTAATAATGAGAGTTAAGATCAGACAAAAATAGCAGTAAAACAATATTTAAAATTTAAAATCAAGTAAAATAAATCATTATTGTAAAATGTTGGTTGAAAATGATAAAAATATGTAATTTTACGTAACATTTACAGCATATAC